AGGACTTCTGGGTTATTTCCAGCTTGGGGCTATTTTGTTTGCTTATTTTTTTAAGTGTTAGAGTCATGAGGTACATGTGAAGATTTATTGCAGAAGGATGTTGAGTGAGGTGAAGCTTGAGCTTCTGACCAGCCCTTTCCACCCGTAGTCGGCATGGAGCCCGGGGATGGGGGGGGCTTGGTGTCTCGTCTCCCTCCCTCTCCCCCTTCAGCAGTGTCCAATGCTTGCTGTTCCTGTCCTTGTGCCTGAGTGTGCCCACTTCTGAGTGAGAGCATGCGGTATTCAGCTTTTGTTTTGTTTTGTTTTGCTTTTTTGAGTTGGAGTCTCACTCCGTCGCCCAGGCGGGCTGCAGTGGCACACTCACGGCCACCCCAGCTTGACCCGCAGGGCTCTGCGATCCTTCCTCTGCAACCTTCCAAGGAGCCGGAACTACAGGCGCGGGCTACCACGCCCAGCTGATTTTTGATTTTTGATTGTAGAGACAAGGTCCCGCCAAGTTGCCTGGGCTGGTCTTGAACCCACAGGCTCGGGCAATCCACTCACCTTGGCCTCCCAAACTGCTGGGATTACAGGCTGAGCCACTGAGCCCAAGTGGTATTCAGTTTTTTGTCTCTGTGCTAGTTCACTTGGAAGGATGGTCTCCAGCTGCACCCATGTTGCTGCAAAGGCCATGATTGTGTTCATGACTGTGTCATATTCCATCGTGCAAAGGGACCGCATTTTCCTCATCCAGTCCGTCGTCAGTGGGCATTCGGGTGGATTTCATGTTTGTTTTGGGGTTTTTTTGCTATTGTGCTGCAGTAAGCATATAAGTGTGGATGTCTTTTGGGGAGAGCAATTTGGGTTCCTCTGGGTATATTCCCAGAAGTGGGATTGCTGGGGCGAATAGAAGCTTTATTTTTAGTTCCTCCAGAAATCTCCAGACTGCTTTCCACAAAAGCTGAACTAGCTTACCTTCCAGCTTGGGATTATTTTAAATAGAGCTGTTATAAATATTCTTTATACAAGCCTTTTTGTACAAACAAATGATTTTCTCTCTCTTGGGTAGATGCCTAGGAATTAAATTGTTGGGTCACAGGACACAGGTTTAATTTTTATAAGAAATCACCAGAATTTCTCTTAAAGTGGTTATGTCAGTTCATAACCTCATCATCAATGACTTCTGCCTGTTCTACAACCAAGCCAAACCGCGCTGTTGTGGGTCTTTTTAATTGTAGCTATTCTAGTGAGTATGTAATGGGTACCTCACTGTAGTTTTAATTTGCATTTCTCTGATGGCGTTTTTTCAAGTGCTCATTGACCATCTGTGTATAGTCTTCTGTGAAGTGTCTGTTCAAATATTTTGCTTATTTTTCATTTGATTGTTTTTTTATTACTGCGTTGTAGAACTTCTTTATATATTCTGAATACCAGTCCTTTGTTAAATATGTTTCGAGAATGTTTCCACCCAGTCTGGGGCTTGCTCAGTCCTTTTTCTTAGTGGTATTTAATTTAGATGACTCCTAATTTATTAAAACTTCTAAAAATTTTGAATTGTTGTTTTGTTTATCCAGGAAACCTTCCTCTAATTCTACTCTAAGTCATGCAGATATATATTCTCCAGTGTTTTCTTCAAAACGCTTTATGGTTTTAGTTTTTATGTTCATCATTTATATGCTCCATCTCAAGTTAATTTTTATGTATGGTGTGAGGTTGGGGTCGACATTGCTTTTTATTCATTTGGATGTTAGTTATTTTAGCATCATTAAAAAAAGACATTCCCTTTCTTTATTGGATCTTAAGGGTGTCTGCTAAACCGATATATAATATATGTAATATACAGCATGTATAATGTACATGATATATAATATATACCATATATATATATAATGTATATATATATATAGGATGGATGCGTTTCTAGTCTCCCTATCCTGTTCTGTTGATCTGTATGTGGACCCCTAAACTGACACCACACTGTCTAGATTATGTAGCTTGATACTAAGTCTCGAAGTGAGTCCTCCAACTTAAGTCATCTTTTTCAAGATTGGTTAGGAATACCTAGATTCTTTACACTTTCATGTCAGTTTTAGAATAAGCTTCCCATTTTTAAATAAAAAAGCCTGCTGGGATTGTATTGAAAGCAAAAATCATTTGGGGGATAATTGACATCATAAAAAATTCAGTCTTCCACTGCACTCCAGCCTAGTCTGGGTGACTCAAAAAAAAAAAAAAAAAATCAATCTTACAATCCATGAACATGATACATATCTCTATTTCATTAGATCTTTAATTTCTCTCAGCAATGTTTTTGAGTGTTCAGTGTGTAAGTCTAGCATATCTTTTGTTAAATTTATTCCCAAGAATGTTATTTTTTATACTAATGTAAATGAATTTTTAAAAACTTTAATTTTCAGCTTTTTGCTGCAGGTATGTAAAAAAAAACCAATTTTTAAAATTATTAACATTGTGGCCAGGCACGGTGGCTCAAACCTGCCATCCCAGCACTTTGGGAGGCTGGGTTGAGGGAGTTGCCTGAGTCCACAGGTTTGAGAACAGCCTGGGCAACTTGGCGAGGCCTCATCTCTACAGTAATTAAAAAAAAATTAGAGCCGGGCTTGGTGGCTCAGCCTGTAATCCCGCGCCTTTGGGAGGCTGAGGTGAGTGGATTGCCTGAGCCCGCGGGTTCGAGACCCGCCTGGGCAGCGAAACCTCATCTCTACAATAAATCAAAAAATCAGCTGGGCGTGGTAGCGCGCCTGTAATTCCAGCTACTTGGAAGGCTGAAGCGGAAGGATCGCCAGAGCCCAGCAGGTCGAGGCTGCGGTGGCCGGGAACGGCCACTGCACTCTAGTCTGGGCGACAGAGTGAGACTCCAACTCAAAAAAAAAAAAAAAAAAAAAATTAGTCGGGTGTGGTAGTGCGTGCCTGTAGTTCCGGCTAACGTGGAAGGCTGAGGCGGAAGGATTGCTGGAGCCCAGCAGGTTGACGCTGGAGTGGCCGTGAGTGTGCTACTGCACTCCAGCCTGGGTGACGGAGTGAGACTCCAACTCAAAAACAAATAAATAAAAGTATTAACATTGTATCCTAGCTAAATTCACTTCTTAGCTCCAGTAGTTGCTTTGTAGGTTCCTTCGGATTTGATTTTGTGTGGAAAAAAAATCATCTGTGAGTATTGACACTTTTCTGATCTTTATGCCTCGTTTCTTTTTATTGCCGTATTGCAATGGTGAGGACTGCCAGTACAATGACAGAGATGAGGGTGGGCATATTTCCTTGTTTTTAAGAGAAAGCTTAAAGTCTCTTCAGGGAAAGTATTCATTATTCATGATTAATTACATGAGCTTGGCCAGCATGGTGGCTTATGCTTGTAATCCCAGCACTTTGGGAGGCTGAGGTGGGAGGATTGCTTGAGCTCAGGAGTTCAAGAGCAGCTTGGGCAATGTAGTGAGCGCTTGTCGCTTAAAAAAACAATTATATCAGCTAAAGGTTTTTTCATAGCTGCCCTTCAGCAAATTGAGCTATTTCATTCTCTTTCTAGTTTGAGTTTTTATCATGAATGTGTGTTGACTTTTGTGAAACGTATTTTCTGCATCTATTGAAATAAAGGGTTTTTTGTTCTTTTTAATACATTGATTACATTGACTGATTTTTTAAAATATTAAACTATTCTTACATTATTGGATAAACCCTACTTGGTCATGATGTATCATTTTTTGCAGTTGGATATTGGATTCAGTGTCCCTGGGGATTATTAGCCTGTCTTTTCTCCTTCTGTTCTTTTCTGTTTTCTTCTTTGTTTTTATTTATTGTGGTAATGGCTTTATCTGGTTTTAGTTTCAGGGCTATGCTGGCCTCATAAGACAAATTGGGAAGGGTTCCCATCCTTGTCTATTTTCTTAAGTTATTGTGAGTTTGATGTTACTTTTTCCTGAAGAACATTTTTGACTGAAAATTTGAACCAGCCTTTCTGGGTAGCTCTGGCATAACAAAGCGATAATTGGCGTCATCAGATCAGTGGAACTCTTGGATTTCTTCTTTCTTCTTTCTGGTTGCTCACCCCCACTCACCTCAGAAAACCTCCTTTGTGGTCCCTGGCCTCAGGGGCAGGGACACACCAGGATTTCCGGCTTCTCCCTTTGGACGGGCAACGGTGAAGCCGAGGCCTTTTTCTAGATGCCAGCTCAGATGCCCAAGGCAAACTTCTAGGATCCCCCAGTGGATACCAACATCTCCCTCGCTCTTCTTTCCCTTTCTTCTCTTTCTTTTAGAGCCACTCTCTTTTAGCTTTTCTGGGAGGATCTTACTGACACCCCTCATGCAGGGCCTAGACCTTACTCTGCCAGCCTCTGGACATGGGGCCTCAGCGGGTCCCCTTTTCTCCCTGGGCCTCAGAACTCTCATCTGTGCACCGGAGAGCCTGCAACCAGAGTGGGACTGTTCTGGCATTGTGTGGTTCTCTCTTTTTATTTTTTATTTATTTATTTGAGTTGGAGTCTCACTCTGTCGCCCAGACTGGAGTGCAGTGGCCG